ATATTCAAGAATGGTTTTAAAATTACACTGCTAAGCCTAATAATCGTGTTGAATACTGAATTTTTAATGTTGTCAATAACTAGTCACAATTCATGATTTTCAAATCATCCATATCTTCAAGTTTCTATGCATTTCCTTCTTGGAAGTCTACAGGAATTCTCTATTATTATTTCCGCAGCAATACACACATATTGGCTTCTATTAAATTACTTTTAATGGTTTATATTTTTCATACACGGATCACTGGAAATACCCGATACTTGCCACCCCCAGAGTAGATTGTTTCATCTCTCACAGTGTAACGTTTTATTTTTTTTAGTGGTTTAGTTTCTATAAATCTTTTACACTATAGTTTTGAAGATTTAGTATGTGCGACTTCTATCGTCAGTACGATTGCGACATCTAATACACCATAAAGTAGTCTAAAATACGTATAAACATAAACTACCTTAAGTATATAAATACGATCCCTATTTTCTATCAGATCAAGTAAGATAATTGTAAAGTATCGCAAGGAAGATGTTAAGCGACTTAATTTCAGTCCTTCCCCGAAAACATAGGTTATAAACTAATTGGTAACATTTATCTGTGATTAATTAATTAATAACACTTAAGTGATTGTACTAACCACGACAACGATAGTTTTAACTTACAACATACAGAAACGCACAGTGTCGCCATCGTACGAGACATTCAAAAATTGTCTTAGAATTGTTATTGCTGCCAGTTCATCGAAAGACGTTGTTGTTTTAATAGTACTTATGTTTTATACAAATGTAATCTTGCAGTTATTGTGACGACACTTAGGTGTATCCTTATACCCCATACTAGAAATTTAATTCAGGAACCAAAAATAAAATACGAAAAATAATCTTCTATTTTATGAAATTTGTTGTACAAGTCACTAGTTTCATCGGACCAAGTAACCAAGCCGTAAATATTAGTAAAATTCTTAGAACCTAGGGGTGAAAAGGATAATGGCTAACACTACGTGTCAACTATATGTATTATAAACATTGCTGACGAGGCCATCTGTCCAATTTCAGAAGACAACCCAATATTTTAAAAGATTATGTTCAAAACTAACCTTCAACTGTTCAAAACTGCGTTTTTCTCTTTAAGCACTAAGCTACACAATGGGCTATGAAGATAGCTTTTATATACGGAAACATCTGTTAGCTAGAGTTCTTGCACAGATCTTAAAATATAACGTTCACAAATGGAAACATCGGCTCAAGTAGATACGTAGATCTTGAAAGTCGAGTTGTTCAAAACTTGATAACTGGACCAATTGTTGATTGAGATGTTGCAAAAGAAATATCTGCTGAAGCTTTTTGCCAGACACTATTCATAGCAGAAGCGCCTGGAAAATGATCTATAGGAAATAGTACAACTTATAAAATGAGTCAAATCAATGTAGGCCAGTAAGGCAATCACTGATTGGCATGTCCTTTAGCCAATCAGGAAATGTCACAGACCTACTGAAGGATGTATAGATTGCATAGAAATTCTTTTTGGCAGCAAAGGACAGGTTTATGTGTTTAATAAAGGTGGCTTCCAAAATATAGAGATGAAAGGTCTATCTGTGTAGTTGTAAAATTACTATTAATTCTCGTATTTATAAATGAAAGATCGTCAAACCAAAAGCTGTATATTAATCTTTTAATTTATTTTTAATAAAGCCGATTTCAATTACTGACTTGCCATCAGTCTAAATATTTTGAGTCAGCATTTAGTTACTTGGGGACTTTTTTGTTTTGAGAAGTTAAACTAACAAGTTTTATCTTAGACTCAAATGTTTAGAAAGTTTGTTTGAATTTCGCGCAAAGCTACACGAGGGATATCTGCGCTCGTCGTCTCTAATTTAGCAGTGTAAGACTAGAGGGACTAGAAATCATCACCACCAACCGCCAACTCTTTTATCAATGACCGCCACATTATAACGTCCCCATGGTTGAAAGGGCAAACATGTTTGGTGGGACGGGGATTAGAACCCGCCATCCTCGGATTTCGAATCTAGCACCCTAACCACCTGGCCTAAAAATTTTGTACTGTAAAGACAAAAATGCTTCTAAATATAATATTTCGGACATTTTATTACCCAGCAGTCAACACTCTTCAATTAAAAAAAACACTATCTGCAACTCATCACACAGATTAATCATATAGTGTTAACTGTTGCTCGCAAATATTAATTCACCACCTTTATCTAACCAAAATATTCAATAAATTTTGTGAAATAGGAATAGAAATGTGCTAGATTCATATAATAGAGAGTAATATATATATAATTGATGGTGAAATTTAACCTGTTTCACAGAAAACCCAAATTTTGGTTGAATTTTGCCAATTTAAGATAAAGAATAACCATGGTCGCAATCCGAAACAAAACCAATTATTGTGCCTATCTATGTTTGTCTTGTGCTCTTAGTAAAATATAAACTTTATCATTTTCTTATTTTGGAAATACTGATTAGAATGGACAATCACTGCTTTGGCTTCCAAAGTATCGAGGAGGTTATATCCTAATTGTGTATGTGCACTCTGTAATGCTTTCAGGTCTGTGTGAATCCAGGATGTGGCATGTAATAATACCCTTGCAAACAGAAGTCCGAGACACTTCTTTCCCGAATAAACTACCACAGATATCTGAGAACAGAGATAGGTGATTAGGAAATTTGCTGAAGCAAGAAGGATACAGAATCTGGGGAGGACTTTACAAACCTATCAGTCGACGAGCTTCGCAACTTCTGTATAAGTGTGTACCAGCCGTAACAGACTAAGTTGTGAAATGGAAAATACATGGATCAGGATCTGGAGGTTTTTCTTCATAAGGAAAAAATAATAACATCTTTTGGGTTGAGATCCAATCCAGACATGTAACCTTTGGATCAAGCATGTACAATGACTTTAGTCTGTGACAAACTGTGACTGGTACTGTCAATGAAAAGGTGTAACCAGGGTGTTTGAATGTTGTGCACATGTTACAATTCTTTCATGATACCTTGGACATGTATGATACACTAGTGAGATAACTGATTCTCCATCCCAAAGAACATATCACTGATGCTGTCTGTATCTGTAGTAGTACTGTTTGTTTTGTCAAATTTCACGTAAAGCTTCTCAAGAACCATCTTTAATTTAGAAGCGATAGACCAGAGGAAAAACAGCTAGTCAACATCAACTCTTGGGCAACACCCCTACAACTAAAGGGTGAGCAAGTTTGATGACTGAATTAAAACTTGTTACCCACATATTGAGACTTAAGTGCCCTAACCTCCGGGTCATTCCAAATCAAATAGTTCTGACCCTGATCAATATCCTCAAAATATATTAATGACTTTATATGTAAATATACACAAGTGATATGAAACAAATAATTTTTGATTCTATAAAGTCTGCCTGATAAACTTCACTATTTTAGTTTTGGTAGTTTTACAGTCAGAGTGTATTCATGTTTGACTTTAAATGTTTAGATATTTTAGGGTGAACTTAAATATTGTAATTACCTAATACATAATTTCAAATTGATATCCATACAGTTTCTTTGAAATTACAGCTATAAAGTCACCCTGATAAACTTCACTATTTTAATTTTGGTAGTTTTACAGTCAGAGTGTATTCATGTTTAACTTTAAATGTTTAGATATTTTAGGGTGAACTTAAATATTGTAATTATCCAATACATAATTTCAAATTTATATCCATACAGTTTCATTGAAACTTGGACCCAATTCTAAACTTATAGGAACCCTTCCTTTTTTTCACATTTTACTTGGAAAAACAACAACAAAGAATTACGTTTTTCTCAAATGTAAAGTTTCACAAAATGGACCAATAATCAGCATATATTACTCACTATTTTTTCAAATTTTGTCACTATTACATTTTTAAGTTGTGAAAAATAAATAACTGCAGTATACAGTGATTTCAGTTCCTAGAACCAAACTCAGATTTTGGATACTGAATGCACCAATCAGACCAACATTCTATAAAGACTAACTGTTTCAACTTTTGTCAAGATAAGTAAAACAGTAATGCAAAAAAGAATTACTTTAACAAGCCATGGAACTTAATCAAATCAGAAGCATCATATTTTCAAAGATTAGGTAAAATTCTAAACACATTGTATTATAAAAAAAATACACATGGACTAATATATAATGGTTTTAAACCACTTACATTGAAAATATTATGATACAAAATGTTTACAGGTTAATAATTAGCTGGTAGATAGTAAAAACTGGGAAGATGATTATATAGGCAAGAGGGCTTTGGATATGGAGGTGGAGGGGAGAAGGAAGAGAGGAAGACCAAGGAGAAGATGGAAGGATTGCGTGGATGGAGATATTAGAGAGAAAGGCCTTGTTGGGGAAGAATACGAAGACCGAGGAGAGTGGAAACGTGCTGTCAAAAATAGCGACCCCATATAAATACGGGAAAAGCTACAGAAGAAGAAGAAAAGTAAAAACTGTATAATTTGTCGTCACATACCATAACCTTTGACTGATACTAAGTTTGTAGTTTTAAGCACCTTATTTCTTTTTATCATTTTCAATAACTTGTCAACAGTTTTAATTTTTTTTTCATTTACTTTTGTATCAAATTCAAAATTTTTACTAATAACCCCTTCTGATCTTTCATGCTCTAAACCATCAGAGTGTTCGTTGATTCTAGATTCCGAAAGTTGAGAAACGGTCGATACACCTTGTTTTTCTAGAGTTAAACCACCAAACTCTCTCTCTTCACTACATAAATATCCAGAGGAAACTGGCATTTCACATACCTCACCAGTTTCAGTATTTACCACATCTTCATAGCTTTCATTACTACATTTTCTCTTTTTATTCTTCTTAGCATTATAAGAACTATTTCCAACAACATCTTTAACAGTATCCTCCAATGTCAATGTGGGTATCTGGGTTTTGGAGACTGACAGATATTCATTACTATTTGTGTGTATTTGGTTGGATTTTGCTTCAACATCTTTTTCACTTTTCTTCTTCTTTTTCTTTTTATTGAACAAAGTGTTATTAACACCCATGATCTCAGCATTATCCTTAGCTTCACTTCTCTCTATCACGTTATCCAGGTTGTTTATTTCATTCATATTTTCTCTGTGTGGCTTAATCTCAAATGATTCTTTTCTTTTTTTACTCTTTTTCTTTTCTGCAATTTTTTCACTAAAGTTATCAACCTCCCTTAATTTTTTCTTTTGTGTCGTACAACTATGGTCGTTGGAGATTTCCACACTTTCTTTATACTCTTTAAACGTTTGGCATCTCGGTGACTCAGGTTCAACAGTTTCCTTTTTCCTTTTCTTCTTTTTTGGTAATTCAGATAAAGTGGTTGAGGTAGGAATTAAATCAGTCTGTAACACAGTATCGCCTGCTTCGGAACTGAAGTTATAGTTTTTATAGTCATCAGTTTCAAGTTCTGGCTTTGTTTCGTCCTTGTCATTCATTTCTTTTTTTGGTATTTCCTGAATTAACTGACAGCTACTATTTTTTTCTTGTTCCTGCAAATAGATATCTAGAAATCTAACTTTTTTCTTTTGCTTTTGCACATTTGATTTTTCTTTGTTTGATGTAATTGACCCATCATAACTGGCTTCCAGAGATATATTTAAATGTTCATCACTACAAGTATCATTTCCAGGATTATTTGCTCCCATTTCATTCATCTCTCTTTCTTTTGAATGGAGTTCTGTAATTACAACAGTGAGGCTAACTGATTTGGTACATACATAATGATCTACATAAAAGTATGTTAAACATTGAATTAAAATGCTAACAAAAATAATAGCGAGGAAAAATTGAATAAAATTGTAAGGATCTGCTAAAATCCACAAAATTTGATATATATATATATATACACACACACATAAAAAAGCACAATTTTTATACATAACACATATAGAGACCAAAGTGACATCCATATATCTGACTGACACATACTAGGAAAATATCAAAATTAAAATATACAACTTTATAAAAACTTGAAATTACTGAAAACCTTTACTTCGTTTACACTTACATTACAATTTTTTAAAATTTATATATTGATAAACAACAAATACTTGTAAACCATCTATGTATTTCAAATAGTTTTAAAAATGGTTAGAATATTACTGTTCCTTCTTTGTAAACAAAAGATTACTCATCTTAATCTTTTTTGCTATAAAAAAGCATCATCAGCCCTTAAAGTACAAGCACACATACAAAAAAAACATGATCAGCTCTAACAGTATAAGTGCACAAAAAACATTATAATCTCCTGAAGTACAAGTACGCATGCACACACACACAAAAAACATGATCATCTCCTGAAGTACAAGCATGCACTCACACAAACACACAAAAACCATGATAATTTCCTGAAGTATAAGCACACAAAAAATGATCATCTGCTTAAGTATAAGCACACATACACACAAAAACAAAACATGATCATCTCCTGAAGTACAAGTACGCATGCACACAAAAACATTATATCTCCTGAAGTACAAGCACGCACTCACACAAACACACAAAAAACATGATCATTTCCTGAAATATAAGCACACAAAAAATGATCATCTGCTTAAGTATAAGCACACAAAAACAAAACAAAACATGATCATCTCCTGGGGTATAAGCACATAAAACACATGATCATCACCTGAAGTATAAGCACACACAAAAACATGATGATCATATTCTTACCAACTTTTCCTCTTCTTCCTTCTGAAATTTCTGCCATTTTCTTAGCAAAATAATCTTGAACACTTGTCCCACTGTGAAAGGTTTTAATGTTATCTTGGAGCTCCATTCCATTTGATATAGTTTCTACATCAGAGTTATCCTGATGAAAAAAAACATGCTATCACAAAAAAAACTTAATATCACACAAAGAAAGCTTTAAAACCTCTTCTAATTATGAAATAGGCTTGAGATAATGGCACATAAAAATAAAAAAACAATAAATATACAGTTTAAGAATATCAATTCATAACTAGGGAAAACTGAGATCAGGGTGATCATATTCTTTCTAAAATTCTTCCCCGACAATCCAGGTAAGATCCCATGTTTTACAGGCTGCACAACATACTGCCATTTCAAATTTTCCTCATAATTCTAACTAATTAACACCACAATAGCTTTGTAATCTGGTTATAAAATGTATTAAAAACTTCACAACAAACTTACTTCAGAACAAAATCTACAAACAAGGACACTGCATCTTGATGGCAGACAAGAAAATGTTACACTTATATCTATAAAACTTGATATATTAATAGAAAAGAAGGAGATAAAAATGCTTTCTACATTCTTACTAAATGGATTTATTTTGCAACATTTCCACTTTAGGCTAACTTCAATCAAAGAACAAAATCAACTGGCTGATAAAGATAACTTGATATAACCTACCATGAAATATAATGAATTAAATAATTATCACCAGATAAAATAGCATACAGCTACTTTTCAAGATCATGTTAAAATACACCCACAACTAAGCAGAATAACTTGAATAAGTGTGCAGGTTCTTGGTGTTGTGGTGGGGGGGGGGGATTTATCTGATGTTATCTGGTTCAGGAATAATTGTTTTATATTATTTTATCTTTACCACTATTTTCAAGTTCCTCAATCCTTACAGATTTTTCAGCCTCATGGTTACAATAATGTAGATAAAAAAACAGACACAAGAAATGATATACACTGTTAGTTGAAAAAAATCAAGACCAAACCTTTGATGACTCTTCCGAGGCAGAAAAATCAGCTTTCTTTCTTTTGTTTCCAAATATTGAAGCAATGTCATCTGAACTGTATCGACTGATATCTTTTCCCTTAACAAACTTGTGGTAACTGAAAAAAACAAAACAATCATAAACAGTTTTGGATGTTTACTCAAATATCTGTTTAAAAAATGAACTGAAAATAATTCAGGGGCTAAAAGACTCAGTTGAAATTGTAAAAGAATGTCTACGTATTTTTTATGTTTCACTCAACACAAAAAACCTAACTAATAATGTTATGATAAATGCTTTCTTATAAAACAGACAAAAGAATGTAGTTTAAAAGCAATTTCTGATAAAATGCAATTGTAAGATCCATATTTTATTCAAAAATAATAATATGTAACTTTTCTCATGTTCTTTCAAATATTCTTGGATATACAGGGTGGGGCAAAAGACAGGATAGAGTTATTTCATCTAGAAAATAGTTAAATTTCTAACTACTACTCTAAAACAATAATTAAATTAGTTTCAACTATCTTGATGATTTGTTTATTTGTTTGTTGAATTTTGTGCAAAACTACTAGAGGGGTCAAAGTGCCCTAACCAACAGGTCAAGCCAGGTCAACTAGTTCAGATCCTGAAGTTAAACACATTGGGATCTCTGTGCCCTGCCCAGTTAATGACTCTGTATGTAAATATACATAAGTGATATCAAATATAACAAATAATGTTTCATTCTATAATGTCAATCTGATAGATCAAATATAACAATGTTTCATTCTATAATGTCAATCTGATTGATCAAACATAATGTTTCATTCTATAATGTAAATCTGATTGATCAAACATAATGTTTCATTCTGTAATGTCAATCTGTTTGATCAAATATAACATTTCATTCTATAATGTCAATCTGTTTGATCAAATATAACATTTCATTCTATAATGTCAATCTGTTTGATCAAATATAACGTTTCATTCTATAATGTCAATCTGTTTGATCAAATATAACGTTTCATTCTATAATGTCAATCTGATTGATCAAATATGACGTTTCATTCTATAATGTCAATCTGATTGATCAAATATGACGTTTCATTCTATAATGTCAATCTGATTGATCAAATATGACGTTTCATTCTATAATGTCAATCTGATTGATCAAATATGACGTTTCATTCTATAATGTCAATTTGATAGATCAGCATTTCCCAAAGTGTGGCCGATGCGCAGAAAACTAAAAAAAATTAAATTAATTTTAACCCTTTCACTACCAACTGCCATTTTTAAACTTTCTCCAAGCCGTTGTTGTATATTAAAGAAAAATGTAACTAAACCAGTTAATATAAATATATTTTAATAAAAGTAATATTTTCAAATACATTACAATTTAAATTTTCATTTCATCTAACTTGGATTTCTCAGTATTTCAATTAAGCTAATATAACAAGAAGTCCCTCAGGAATTAAGGTGTTCCCACTTAGTGCAATTTAGAGAGCCTAAGATTAAGTTTTATGGTGTTGATAACTTTGAGATTCTTGTGAAATGCTGTAAATTTAAACCACATGTTAGCTAGATGCATCCCCCTGCTGAGTCCAAGCCTGTCTGCAGGTAAGATCAAAGAAGGGGGTTTTGTATCACATAAAAGGACCATTTGTTCATTAAAGTTAACCAGTTCTATAATACCAAAGTTTTAGGAATTTTATTCCAAATGTGTTAAATTTGCTTACTCTGTTAATGTAAATTGACCTGAGTGTTACATCTGGTAGCACAAGGTGGCAGCAGAAAAGTTGCTGGTGGCCAGTGCTAGAAGTGTCCGTTTGTTCTGAGAAGAGAGAGAATTGTTTGCGACTTAGTTTGTACTAACTAAAAATTTTTAAAATTATTCATTTAAAAAAAAACCCTCTCCAATATGGATAGCTGGCTGAAGAAACATGCATCACACAAGAAAACCTCAAGTGATGCACAAATGCAGCCTAGTTCTAGTGAAACTGAAGTTAGTGAAAATAATAGGCCTAGTTATAAACATTTAAGTGATGTGCAACTTGGTATCAAAGAAAAGAAGACCTCTTGGATTTGACAGTGTTGTGATGAATATTTGAAGTATGGTTTTATAAGTGGTGGTAGCAATAATGACTTGCCACTATGTGTTTTTTGTTTTTCAACATTATCAAGTGAGAGTATGAAACCATCAAATCTGAAATGCCAGATTTTTTCATAAATAAGAAAAATGAAATAGTTTTTTTCCAAACAAATAATTTCACACACTTTTTCCACAAGATCTTCCAACGAAGACTTGGTTATGGCTTCATATGAAATTTCAAAACTAATAGCAGAGATAGGTTATCCACATACCATTGGTGAAACGTTAACAGTTCCTGCAGTAAAAATAATTACATCTCATGTTTATAATAAACAAGAAAATCAGTTGAATTTACTCTCCCTATCTAATAATACAGTGAAGCGTAGAATTGTGGATATAGTGATAAATATTGAAGAAACTTATACGTCGTGTTCACTCTAGTCAGTTTCTTTCATTACAAGTGGATGAAAGCACAGACACAGCGGATAATGCCAACTTAATGTGCTTTGTAAGATATGACTATAAGGACACAATTCATGAAGATTTATTGTTTTGTAAACCACTTCCAATAAGAACAATGGCTGATGAAATTTTTAATTTAATCAATAATTTTATAATTCAGAGTGGTATTCAATGGAAAAAAGTGTTAGTTTGAGTACCAATGGTGCTCCCTCAATGGCAGATTCCCATACAGGAGTTTTCCAGAGGATCCAAGCAGTGAAGAAAATGCCCTTAATTTTGAATTCAACTATGCAAGATTGTGTTAAATTCATAAATGATATAAAATCTCGTTCGTTGAATTCCAGAATATTCCCTGCTTTGTGCAAAGAATTAGGAGTGAACACGAGCATCTCCTATTACACTGTGAAGTTCAGTGGTTATCAAAAGGAAATGTCTTAAAAAGACTCATCGAAATGAAGAATCTTGTTTTTGGAGCAGCATCCCCCATCAGCAAAGGATGCAATATTTGAATTTAGAGACAGGTTTCATAATTTGCATTGGTCTATTTATGCGACATTTTTGGCTTCTTAAATGCATTAAATCTAAATTTACAAGGTACTAACATAAATATTTTTATTGTCTAGGAAAAGACAGAAGCAGCTATAAAAAATTAACTTGTGGGTACATCAAGTTGAGAAGAGAAATTATAAGTCTTTCTCTACTTTAACAGAATTACAAAACCAAGATGAAAAAGGTAATATTCCAGATGAGATTTCCTCATCAATCAAAGAGCATCTTTTGGAGGCTAAAATCATGCTTGAAGGAATATTTTCCTCCAACTGACAGCAGTAAAATGTGGATCAGGAACCCTTTTACTATTGACACGGAAAATGAGGAAGGACTACAATTTAGACAACAGGGTCTTCTTTCCCCGCTGATTTTTCCAAGCACGTTCCCTTGGCTGTGGTTTTGCTAGATAGTAGATACGGACAGTGGGAATCTCGTTAATCCATTCATGCACATCACTAATTAGATGACGAGGCATTTGGCTACCTTAAGAGAGTCATAGTTGATAATATAAACTATATTCTATGTAAATTGTGCAATATAAGTAAACTAAATTTCTCGTGAGTGTTAAACTATATCTTTTATTATTTTCATTTATTTAGTGTTATGTTTTTATTATTTTTAATATAAACTATATTCCATATTATATAAATGAGATACACTTTTGTATTTCTTGCAGAATTCTAGCTACAGAAGTCTACTTCTAACTCTGGCACTTCCACCAAGGTGCAGCAGCCTACAATAGCAGCATACTGTACAGAATCAACTAAATACAAGTCTACACATTTGTCAGAAACACATCACTAACAAACTTGTCAATTTTATTACTGGTACACTGCAACCCTTCTCAGTGGTGGAGTCAAAAAATTTTCAAAATCTAATGGCAACCATGGATTCTCAGTATATTCTTTCCAGTTGCAAGCATCTGTCCACAATGTTGATCGAGAGCAGGTTTAATGAAGTCCAACATAAAGTCATCTCTGTATTGCAACTGGTACCCAACATCAATGTCACTGTGGATATCTTGAGTAGCAGACAAATATGCAGCTTTCTTGGAATCACTGGTCATTTATACTTGACTGGAAAATGCAAACAATCATGTTGTCATATCGGCATTTCAAGGGCATCACACATTTCATAACAATGCAGTACATCTATTTAACAACAACAGCAAGGTGTCATATGTGACATCACATGATCAAGGCATTCTGCTTGCTTGGATTCTCACACAAACACTACTTAGTGTGAGAGATGATGATAGCTCATCTGCAGATAGTGACTCAGAAGATGAACTTTTAGATTAATCTAAATCAGTAGACAATTTATCTAAATTTCTTCCTAAACATGACCCCTGTATTTCCCACGTGCTACAGTTTGTGGCCAGGAATGGCAAGAAAAATGCTGGACCACTGCTGAAAGTAATTTCCAAAGCATCAGCCATTGTGTCCCACATTCAAAAATCAATGCAAGCAGCTGATCTACTTAAGGCAGAGTTCAGTCAGCAACATCAACACAATGGAACTCAAAAATTAAGATGATTAAGTCTTATTGAAGATTCCCCAGGAGAAGTTGGATAATCTAGACACCAGCACATCGAAACTTACTTTTCATGATCAAACTGTGCATGCAGATTCGGTGACAATACTAACATTTTTCAAAGAGGCAACATATTTCACCCAGGGTCAGAACATTGTTACCTCCAGTAATGTTGTGATGTGTTTATGGGCTGATGAGTGAGATTGATAGCATTCAGTCCAGTTATAATTTTTAATCTTGTTTTTGCACTGAAGAGTGTTCCAGCATTTTCTGCCCCTGTTGAGCATTTGCTCAGCATTGGAGGCAAAACCTGATTGCTACCACCTCATTTACAAGACATTTGTAAGACATGTTCATAAAAAACAACGGACAGTTATAACATCTGTAAATCCCCTTTAAAAATACATTTTTTGTTCTAAAACTTTGTTATTGCATTTTGAAAAATAAAAGTATTGAAATGTTATTATTAAAAGTACTGAAATTTTATTGGTTGCTGTTTTATCATTATTGCACATTACCTGACAAAGCATTCATAGCTGTATTTGATTGCTGATCTCCAGTGTTCACCCCATCCTTGGTTACAACTCACTACCAAGGAAGCCTTTCATTAAACACTAATTATAACTAATACGATGAGGTTTCTGTCTCAGTGTAAAGCTGCAAGTAGACTTTCTGCACCATGTGGACCACAGAGATCAAACCCTGATTTGGATAACCATTTTCTTGTTTAGGCCAATATGATCAAAAATATTCAAACAATTAAGAAATAATAATTGAGTATAACCATAAATGTATATTTTCATTGACATCATTTAAAAACATTTTGCTTTTAAAAGGAGCCCAAGTTCTGAAATGTTCACCTTAAAAACAATCAATCAGAAAACATAATTCTTATGTCTGTTCTTTTAGTTGAAATTAAAATTTGACAAATATTTGCAATTCCCTTGTTTTTCCTTGCCTGAGTCATATTTGTATTTTCTTGTTCTTTCAACACCACCATTTATATGGTAGTTACAAATTGTTTTTAAAACAGATTATGTCATATTAAAGGCATGAAGAATTAACATTCAGACTTGAAATTACTTTTAATATGTACAGTACAGAAATATTATTCAAATCTCTAAAATATGAACATTGCCCTGTATATTCAAATGCAAATAAAAACAGATCATTCAATGTCATAAATGAATTTATAAGCTGATATACAGATATAAATCTACCTGTTTATCAAATTGTATGCAGAGTTTTACACAATCACCTTGTTCGCTATTTTCCCACTTAACTTACAACACATCAAGCAAATTTCATGCATGTTACATATTAATAGTGAGATGTGCAACCATATCAAGACATTGTACAAGCGATAGTATGTTTGTGTCCCATAGACATCACTATTATATACTTTTAAAAAATATCTGTAATTACCAATTTCTAATTATGTATTACAAATAAGTAGAAAAGTGTGTTTGTGATGCAAATTTTTCTATTATTATTAAATACCCTAATTTCTAGCCTTCACTGACAAACAATGTAAAATTCAGTTTCTTTTTTGGAATAGCAGGAATATCACAATTACTTTCTAAGCATCGTTTGATACAAAGAGCTTCAACAGTTTCTTGTTTATTTACAGTGATAATTTTCTCTGTACATTCTAGTCAACTCAGACAGTAGTATGCAGGCATATTGAGCTAACACCTACTTCAAAATCATGTGTTTAAGTGAACTGCACTAGTGCATGATGACATCATCATGCAATGATAGCCCTCCACCAATAGGAGGGTGACATAACCTTGCACAGCAACTCTCTCTAAGCACTTGCACTCAAAAGAATTTCATTCTTAAATGATGTAAGAAGAAAGTGCACAGGAAGTGGAGTAGAAAGGTGTGTGGAAGTAATTATCTGTCAGGAATACATTTTCAGGTAAGGAAAATGTTAACTTCCGAGATGATACCTCACCTTCTCACACAGAATCCCACAATGAAATGGTAGATGACCTCCCCTTTAGAAAGTGCCCAAAGAGAAAGCCTACAGCAGGGAATCTATAAGAACCAAGGTATACTCTTGATATGGAAGTGTCACAGGGATGAGCGAAATTGTTTCATGAACAACCGAGCACCAGCAAACAAGTAGTTGGCGAGCCAGAATGTGTAGTGTGGTTATAATGCAATCAGACTGTACAGTATATGTCTGACCTCAA